ACGAATAAATGTCTTTCACTGTTAGTTATATTTGCCTTCAATAACCAATCCCGTTCCACGTAGCAAACAACGCCACTGGTTTTGATAGCGAAAACATCTAAAAGCCAGCAGGCGAGTGTCCATTATCCGAAATATAATAAATTATCTAATTCAATGCGCTCTTGATTATGAAATAATCAAGGAAACTCTACCTGTAAAACGGGGATACATTTCTTTCCGGTTGAATCGATATATTATATCCGAGCAACATTAATTTTTTTAAGGTTCTAATTACTTTCATGAACCTGCAGTTTTATACGTTTAATAGGCTTCTATGAACGCTCGCAGTTTTTTGCGACGATCCGAATATTTCTTTCTTGATCCCGTGAACACTTGGCTGCTTGTTCCTGGTTTCCGCGCGAGCGTTTGTTGAAATTGCGGCGCGTGTTAAGCTGGCGCCAAGTAGAAAGCACGTGTCTCGCGCAAATGGAGGAACAAGTCTCGCGGCGAGATATGTAGGTGAACAATGTTTTGATATCGAAGAAAGGAGTGATCGGACGACATTTTTCCGTGGATGCTTGAAAATTGTTCTCAGGGGCTGTGCCTTGAAATATTGGAATCCTGTGAATTTCAAAACGAGAACAGTGCATTAATAGATTGTAAACTTGGTAGCTTTAGATTTCTATAAAAATGTGAATTGAACTGGAATTTATTTTCTCGATAATGACAAGCAAATTGTATTTAATCATTAGCTATGGTCTAGTTTTACTGTTTTTGTATTATTCCATTTTTCGTCTTATAAATAATAGATTCGGTGTTCCGAGATTTTTTGAGACCTTTTACGCAAGAGTGAAAAGTTTGGTTGTGTTTTTAAAATATTAAGTTATTTGACCCTTACTCGAAGATGATTGAGTGTAAATTATTTACAGCAATTTATATTTTTCTAAATCAATGCATGGTTAAATGGAACAAAGGAAAAATTCGTTTTTTTCTTTTGGGTGTTTTAATTCGCCAACAGTAATTAATACCATCGTAAAGTAAATTTGTATTTCTTTCTACAAAAGAACCTATCTCACGCTTCGGTAATAAGCGCGTGTCTAATATTATAGTATCGGACATTCGTTCCTTCCATAAAAATGTGAAAACCAGGAAATCCTTCAGCCTGATACACATCATTAGCCTTTAGTATCGAGATTATTGCAAAAGTTTCCTACATAATCTCAGGAAAGAGACGCCAGTAATCTTCTCTACTTTATTTTATTATTATTTTATTATACACAGACTTTTTAGTTCTTTAAATAGAAAAGGGAAAGTGGAAAATTCCTATATATTATACCATGACCTTAATACAATTTTATTAAGCAAACGTTACTTAAGAATTTTCAGCCTGGCAGGTATTTAAGAAACGAACGTTTTAACAAATTTTATTGTCCAATAAATAAGATTTTATACAAGCGTTTATATCAGAATAAATGATTGGATATTAAACAAGAGAAATATAGAAACGGACAGCTGAGAGCCGAAGGTATTCACGCACACCCAGCTTTCATAAATAATTTTGCTTGATCCCTGAGACAATAATGTAAACCGTGAGAATATGTTACAGGAATTTCTATAATTATATACAAACTTGTACTGCAATGTGTTTTCAAGTAATTATTATGCTTACATAAGGAAATTATGTACACATGCTCTCTACACCATACTCGAAGGAGAAATTACTTCGATGAAATGAGGGATTTGCTTGATCAAAAATGCAATTGAAATCTGTGTTTTTCATAATGTAAAAGATTTATTTTACATTTTTCATTGAATCTGTACTCTATCTTAGCTTATACATTTTAATATTATTAATATTAATAATTAATAATAATTCGTATTATTAATAGCACTTGTATTATTTTAGTATTAGTATTAAATTAGCCCAAGAGTAACGTCATTTTTTGTCAATTAATAGTATAAAACGTGAATACTCTCGCTTTCCTTTATCATCAATGTATTCATTATCACTGTGTATGATATTTTCCCATTTTCCGATTAATTTAATAATGCCTTTTTCGAATTTCCTTACAAATGAGGATACGGAACGACATTACTTACGTAGTAATCAAACATGTAATTAATCCGACAACACTTCACGAAAGCCTTCTGTTCTCGAGAACTCCGAAATAATAGTTGGTCCACTATTATTCTGAGCCACTGATATATAATCTTACATCGAATCCACGAAACCAAAAAGTATTTAATACCCAGTTCTCTACAAAAAAAAAGCGTACCCTTGTTTCACTAGATAATGAAAGGTCCGTTGAAGTCTCTGCGTTAGCTCTTGTAGACCCCGTGCCAAAACTGTTCAACACCTACTTCTCCACAAAAAAAGCGTACCCTTGTTCCACTAGATAATCAAACTCCGTTGCGCCCCGTGCGTTAACGCCTGTAAACCCCGTGCCGCCGAGTAGTCTCGATCAGCTCGAACCAGCGCGGCGTGTAATCCGGTCGACGGTGATCCGCGTCGTCGTTTAAAGGTCGCGTCGTTTCGCCGGGTATCCTGATCCGGCATGTCGAGGCACTGAAATGTCGAGCCTCTCCCTTCGTCCGGCCATCTTTCTTCCACGAGATATTCAATTTTCTTCCTCGCACCGCTCCGCTTTTCCTCCATCTCCCACTCCCTTAGCCCGACGTCCGTCGCATCCTCAGCTCTCGGAGACCGCGGGAGACGAGGGGCTCGAATCTAACACCTTTCGTCGTAAAGCAACGGATCGCCTCGTATAAAATAAAAGGGGACAGATTAACGGCCGCGAACGTGGTGCCTGCTCACGTGTGCATGCATACGGGACTCGTGCGCGCGATTAGAAGTGTGCGCGGCCCTCCCACGCGCTACCCCTTCCTCTACCGCCCCTCTCTTCGTCCGCCGTTTCTCCCCCGTTCGACGCTTCGAGAGTATCATGTGTTCCCGCGAATTTAATTGCCACCATAAATATCGCTGGCCTCCATGCTGGAGTTCATCGTGGCTAAAATACACGGCGGTGGATCTTCTGTTGCCGGAGCGCCCCACCATCCTCCGCGCTCGTCCCGGGGATCGATGATCGATCGCCGTGGATTAAAAAAAACGCGCGCCCCTTACCGGCCGAGGGATTTCGTTAGCGATGATAGCTGTCGTTCCGTTGCTGATTAATTGACCCCGGATCCTCATGCAAATTCGCCAATTTATGGACACCCGGAGTGAAATAGGGACTCGTTGCTGCGAGGGTTTCGTTGGGAGGGAATGACGTGCCGGGATTTGAGGAATTCCTAAGGTTTATTGGGCGCAGGAACGCTCGGCTGCGTTCGTCCCGAGATTTAGCACTTCTGAGATATTTGACTTAATTGTATTTCAATCTTTAAACGTGATATGCCGGCTTTCTGTAGAAAATGTAGCATAACTATTTGTTATTGAACGTTTCATCGTTGTATCTTTATTATATTTATGTATAATATTACTATAAACTCTTATTATTCATTATATTCATTTTGTTAGATACTTCAATTTCATAAAATCCATGATCTTCACAGAAAACTATTAACATTAACTTCTTTCCACTGATCCGAAATCCATCTGCCTACAACATTTAAGTAATATCTTCAAATCAAACCAAATTACCCAATCCAACTCAATTTCCCATTGTCCCTCTCATTTAACCACATACACAAACGGCTCCATATTATTTCTCCTTTATAACGTTAAAGTCTCTCGTACCTACCAATTTTACTCGAATAATCGCAAGGGTAGCAAACACACAGGAAGTAGATCGAATTATCGAACAGAGACCGCCATCAGCAATTATAAATACCCGAGCAGCGTCCAGGCTGGCGAAATTCCAGTGACTCCGCGTTCTTCCCGCCTTTATGTCCGCGTTCACTCACCTTCCACCGCTTCCGTTCATCCGGAACGCTGTTTGCCAAGAAGTCGTGACCCGTCCACCCGTTTCGATCCGCGCCGCGGACCTTGACAGCTTCCGTTGATCCCCCGTGACGCCTTTTTCCCGCCCCGAAAATTTACGGTCTCCGCGTGTTGCGAAAGAGCCGTGTTCCACCCTCCCGCGATTGTCTATTTCTTTCTCGGCCAGGCCAGTGCGCCTCTTCTTGGCTTCGCCTTCTGGCAACGCTCGAGAAACTCCGGATAGTTCTTTGTACCCTCGTTACCTTTGACTGTAATGATTATTTACTCGTTTATTATACGGGATCCGACACGGCCGACAGTCTCCGGCTTTTATGCATTCTTTTGGTCGCGGAATTTATTCAGCCGTGTATGATCACCTTCGGAATAATCCTCGTATGATTCGATGCCATGCGCTGACACTGTTCGAAGCGACGCTGTAAATTAGCGGCCGCGAGGTTGTTGGGAATGCTGTTCGTTTTGCGCTGCTACGCGTTTTAAAAATCGCTTCCTTTGAGCGCTATCTCGGGATTTTCGGTTGTGGGAAAGGTGCGCCGAATTTAGCGCGTCGTTATTGTTACGCCTTTGTTTTCGGAATTGTTAGGAGGTGATGGGTGGGATTTTGGTTAACGTGGATGGTATGGACGTTGGGACAGAATTTGGGTCCTTTCGGAAGTTTAGATAATCTTTACAGTTTCAGTATATTTATTTAGTATGTGTAGAAATAAATGATCTACATTGATAACTGTAATGGTTGAAAAATGAAATAAGAAGAATCATTTCTTTAGATGCATAAATAACGCAAAATCTAATATTCATCATTACAATACATCAGGCAGTAAAATACACAAATCGTCTTAAGATGTCGTTCTTAAGAAACATTGTATTTAGATACTTAAGAATCATATTAAACTACACTTAAAAGACGTTGTTCGTCAAATATTAGGTCACCCTATAATATCATTCTTTAAAAACTTTCCAACAGAAAGCTACAGAGGTCTTTAAAAAATGACAAAAAGAGTTTAATCAAAACATGAGAAAAGATCAGAAAGTTCTTCGATCTGTCCGCCCGAAAATCTCAATTAATCAAATCTCTCTCTTGTTCCAGAGAGGTGTGTGTGGACGAGGGCCAGCAACTGTCGCTCGCGCACGGCTGCCAATTCTACGAGGTCAGCGCGGCGGAGAGTCCTGCGGGAGCTGCGCTGGCGTTCCAGGCGTTGCTCAGGGAGGCCCGGTCGGTGCAGCTGTTGCGCGCGCTGCCGATCCGCCGGAAGCTGGGCGTGCACTCGGTCTCAAGGGTGCTGGGCACGATCTTCGGCAAGAACACCACCAAGGACCGGAAAAAGAGGCCCTCGCTGAGCATATGACGCCTCCTCTGCGCCCTCCTCCTCGGAGGCCGTGACGAACCAGACCTGAGAGCCGACGTGGTGGTTCTTAGCAGCAATGTCTATGCGAACCGCTGACGAGGACATCCGGGAACGGACGTCGGGCGGTAGCAAAGCGGTTTATCAGCCTCCCGAACAATGTCCGCGCGGTCTTCTGGACAACGGGTACCCAGCTCGCGGAGTCTTCGGCAGAAGAGGACGTTGTAGGTAATGAATCCCTTCCTCTACGAAGGATCATCCTCGAGGACGTCCTTTCGCAGTAGAACTGCTCGTTCATCCGTTTCCGAGGGAGGAAGAGGGTGCAGGGCGCGAACATGGCGCGTGCCAGAGTTACACTTGCGGGGCAAAGATGGACGATGCCTCGATGGATGGTGTTGTTGATCGTTCCCGACGCGTGTTCGGGGCGACGCGTGACATTTGCGCGAGACCCCCGCCGCCGGGGACTCATTTCATTGTAGTTCTAGCCGGCTAAGAGACATTCGTGAGAACAGTGGATTGATCGGGCCGTGTGAAAGACTTTTGCTGCGAGACGCCTTTGCTGGAGATGTGGAAGACTGAGCGCGCGGGACATGTCTTTCGGTCGCGTTGCCTTTGCCTTCGCTCTCGTACCCTGTGCCTTCGCGGTGTGCGCGTGCGCGAGTGCTCGTACGGTCCCCCGTCTTCTTTTCTCGTTTCAGTTGCACGGAGTATCGTTGATCGGAATGGTGTTCCTGAACGTTTTTAGCTTTAAACGCGTCCGGGATGACGGGATCTTGATGGTAGGTCTCTCGCCAGGGGGATTCTGTTAGTGAAGGCTATTTATGGAGACATTAGCGAATGGTTTATGCGATTGTCGAAAATTTGTTGGGGAAGTTATTATTTTTTCTTGTCAGATCAAGGTAAATCCATGCTGAATCGAAATTAATGATTTGGATTCGTTATAATGAGATTGGAGGACGTAGTGTTCTAATTTGGGACAAGCCTGTTTAAGTTTCCTCGCAACGAGTCTCTTGTTTTTCTTCGAGAACGTAAGCAATGGCAATTTGAAAAACTGTTCCAAGTACCTGGACTCGTTTAAAATACAAAAGTAATTTATTCCAGCAGTTGTTCCACAACGCGATCCGTGGAGGTGTTAAATTAAGAGATCCCGATACACGTAATCGCCTGTGCAGGCGTTGAAGTTACCAGCTGTCGTCACGTTCCAAACGCTCCAGTGCATTCACTCCTAGAAATGAGCGCACGGCGTTCTCGTATGATTCTAATTCCTCGGGTGGGTCTTTAACATAAACAAACGAGTTCCAGTTTTTTCCCGACGTACAAATTGCCGAATCGTAAATTTCGATGTTTATCGCGTCGCGAGAAGAAATAAAAGGAGCACGGTTTTTCGAGGTTATTTAGAGAGCCAGTCCCGATAAAAAGGATAAATTAAACGGAATAGAAGAAAGTTCGTGCTATCGAAGATTTTCTCTTCGACGTGGAAATCGAGCCCGCCTGATGAGAGATGATTACCATCTACGTATCGCACGTGATATTATAAGGTTTGCCGATTCTGAGCTCGTTTCGCTGTTGCGAAACCGGAAACGAGCTCTGAGCGCGAGGACTTGCGTCGCCTTTGAAACGAAACCCGACAGTCTTTCAAATTTCGCAGCCTCCGCCGAATGAAGGCCGTTCATTCGCGCGGAATGCGCTGCAGTCACGATTCGGTTGTGCTGTCTTTTCGCACTCGAATGCAGGATCTATGGTTGCCGGTGGTGCAGTGTTATATTCTCACACTTTGATCACGGATTATGAAACCCAATCCGTTTTTCAGGTCTGTCGACAATACAATGTGTATCTAAATGTGATATACCCTGGCCAGAGAGTATTGAACTTATAAATTGGTAAAGAAATGTAGAAAAGCAACTGTACGCAGTTATTTAGAAATTGAATTGGATGTTTTTGAGAAATTTACATTTTATTCAAGACAAATATGAGAGTGATAAGTATGATTACTTTCTCAATTTCAAGCTTTTTTATCATTTTTTTAAAACTTCGAATATATCGTTAGGAACACATTTACATAAATAATAGTTTATTAAATTCAATTTTTTTGTTTTAATGTATTATTTGTAGGCGTTGAGTGGTTCTACTATTCTAATCAGTCTTTATACACAGTAATTTGGAACTAGACATTGATTTCCTAATAGATTTTCTTTATCTAATTATAAGTGTTCTGATTAGTAATCGATTCAGAGTCCATTGATGCTGACGGTTGGCGTGAGGAGAAATTGGTTTACTGATCGACGTGTACCAATCGCAGTTGTCTACGTTTTCTTGAGTTCTTGCCGGGTAGATCGCGTGACTTTGTCATGTTCGATTTTGGTATGGGGAGGATTGCATACCTTGCCATATAAGAAGATTCTTCACAACCGCGTCGCCAGCAGTTAGGTGTCTAATGGCCTCGAGGCGGCACGTGTTGCTGAGTTGTGCATTCTTGGTCGTTCGAGACACAACACACAGTGTCTCACTAGAGTAAATATCACTTTTGTTTGAACCCCTTCGGAACTGTCACGGATCGTATCATACAAACACTTTTACTGCCTTGAAGAAACTGATTCTCGCGTCGTCTACGATTCAAAATGCACAACTGAAAATCTCTTTCGACAGCTTCATTTTATTGTAATTTCTCCACACAAATGTTTCGTCTTTGCATCAATTCCTTTACATAAATTGAAATTAGAACTGTGATAAAGTAAAAGTAACAGCAGAATTGTACATTGAATATGCATATCAAAAGACAACCATAGTTAATGATAATTTACCACTACACAAGCTTACCGACTTATAATTTTACTTTTTCAACCAAACAATAAGAAAACATTACCTTTACAAAGTTATGTTTTGACACTAGAACCAGCAGTCAAAACAACTACTTCACAATTTCTCACGAAAATCACAAAAAATGTTTCTCTCCAAATTTCGAAAGATCGAATGCTTATATTTATTTCAGTTTAATTATTAAATCTACGAGTACATTATCGTATGCAAGAAATTTTGACCAATTTGATTGTGACATTTCTTCCTGACGAGTGTACTCGTCATTCACTGCAAAGAGTCGAAGAATACGTTCTGCCTGAAACTAAACCAACAACATATTGTATTGTCTTCGTTTTACGACGTCCCGCGCATGTGTTACGCGTCTTAATTAATTTACGATTGCATTGTGCCGCCTGCGTCAACTGTATGATCGCGTTTGAAGCGACAGACGCGCGACGATCGTTTATTTAACGCACGAGGAACTTGCACCGAAAGAGATCGCTCGATCGTGCTCCCTCGCCGATCGTGAAACGAGAGGAGGAAGAAGCAGCAGCAGCTCAAATCGTAACGAACTGGTTGTAATGTCAGGCACGCGGCCGAGTTTTGCTTTCGAGAGTTTATTCTGCGCTCGGGAACGATCGCGAGACGTTCGACGTCTGCGGGCCTGTCGATGCTAAGCTTGCCATGCGCTCGAATCATTGGAACGACGTTTCTAAATATTCTACGAATGGAATATCGATCTCAATCCCTTGTCGCATAATTGGCATCAGATCGTTGAAATCCAGGCCAGGTAAATTTTAATTAATAGACTATCTACATATTCGAGAGGAAATTAAATTTAAATAGTGTGCATCGAATGAATTTCAAAAATTTAGTCACACTGACCTTTTTGAACTGAGTACAATAGAGTTGATGATACTTTCTAACATCTACAACTATTTTTTTTAGTAATTACATGGTCGTTCATAATTCTTTGAATTTTAGATGCTTGAAAAGTAAAATATTGTTGAGAAATAAAATTGTGTCAATATAGTAAGTTCAGGAAACTATATAACAGTATCTACGTTAATTGCAAAATTCGTTATTAATATTTCGTTGACAATACTCATTGAAAAATTAGGTGAAACATTTAATTCCACTTTATTCAGAATCCCAAAATAACCTAACGCACAAAACAATCTACTGATACCAATTATACGAAGGTCAATTTTCATATTCTTTACTCTACATCACGAATCACCTCGGTTACTGTTCAAGATCAAATGTTATGAAAGGATCTTCAGTCTCGCGATCGAATTCCCGAGTCGAGAATAATCGATTCGACGACCTTAATGTTCCTACCGAAAGTAGCCTAAGTGTACATAGCGCACATTCACTTGCTGAGTATAACTCTTAACCGAGGACCGATGGAATCGATGAAACGTAGACGAGTAAGGTTTCGAACAGAAATCCGGGTAATGGGGGGGAGGGGGGTGAGATAGGACTGCCCAAGGAAATCGGGCCGACACGATCAGAGATTTGCTCCGAGAAATATTTATCGCGGGTTCGCGTGAGTGCGTGCGCGCGTGCGCGTATTTTCGTTTTCGTATCGTGTGAATTCGGAATTTCGTTTCTGTTTCTCGTATTTTTCTTTCTTTCTTCTCGCTCTGTGTCTCTGTCTGTTTTCTTCTCTTCTTCCCTTGCGTTTTCTCTCTCTTTGCGTCGAACGAGATAATTGAGCCATTCATTCGCCGAAGTGAATTAATCGTTAACTGCTATAGACATTCGAACCAATACTATTACTATATAAAATGTGGAAAACTGTGAATTTGTCGTGGTTGTTTATTTATTTTGATGATTGGGTATTAGATTTTGATTGTGAAATGCAGAATATAGGGTATAAAATGAGGTATGAAAATTTGAAAGTCTTATAGATGTTCTGTAGCAATTAAGGGTTAGGTGTGTGATAACAGAGGTCGAGGAATTGATGAAATTGGGTTATCAGAGTATTGGTTATATGCTTCGGTATTGATGTTTGGAGTTATTTAGGAGTTGGTCGGTTTGGCTTGTGAATGTCTCAGTTGAGTGTGACCAGGTTCGAGCATACTTTTTTTTTGCGAGAAGAGGAAAAAATGTAGAAAAATGAAAGGACGCATCGTTCGGTTTTTTCTACGGTAAACGTACGCTAGCGATTATGATCGAGTTTAAGGTTCTTGCGTAATGTGTATTACGTGTATGTATATTTTCAGTGCCTTTCGTATTGTCAGCGGCGGGTATTAGAGAGGTCCTCTGAACTCGCGGGGATACCTTTTCTAGGCTCCGTTAGTGATTTTTGTTTTTGTTCGGGAAATAAGTGTGGTTGAAGCGAACGAACATGTTCTTAAAATAGATGAAGTGAATAATGAAAAATGGGAAATAAAGATTGAAGATTGGAAATTTGAGAAATTCGAAATAGAAAGTGAAAACTGAACATTGGAAATTTGAGAAACTGGAAATTGGAAGATTGAACATTGGAAAATTGAGAAATTAAAAATTGAAAGATTGAACATTGGAAAATTGTGAAATTTATGAAACAAAAGTAAAAAGAAAAATCTCGTGAACGGTTTTTTCACTGTTAAAGAGCCATTACTAATCGCTGATTACCCTCTCCATTGGTTTAATTCTTTGCGGACGAAGATTCTGTTAAGCGTATAGATGATGTTATAAATATCGAATAACGTTATTAGTATGCAGATTTGATGCATTTACGGGACATGCAGATGTGTAGAATATTAAATAGCCATAATGGCTATTTAATTAGGTTTTCAATTTACTTTTAATTCCTTGAAGCCTATAACGTGAGAAATAATGATCCACTTAATTCTCACTTTGACAAGAAAACATAAGAAGGTATATACATTTACATAATGATGTACAATCTGATCATAACGTACTGGAAAACGAAATACAAAGAATCATGAAGGATAAGCCTTGATTGTCCAAATGTAAAGTTTTATGCTGCAATTGAAATTTTAACATCATCTACTTAATTACATTCGTCCGCAAAGGATTGATGCTTAACTCTTGAATGCACAGAACCATTTTTCCAGCAGAATTCAATGTACCTTAGAATAATGTTTCTTCCAAATAATAATTAACAGAACGGTCTAAATATAATGGTTTTGGGGCCATTGTGCTTGAAAGGGTTAAGCAACTGAGAGAGTCAGCTTTAATTAATCTCTTTTCACGATACTACAGCCATAACAATGATACAAAATTCAATTAACTATTAAACTATTACAGCTCAACAGTTTAAACTGTCGAACTATACTATTTGAATAGTTTAAAGTATCGAACTATAAAATTTGAACACTTAACTATCAAAATTCAATTCTTATTTCACAGCATCAAAAATATAAAAATTTCGAATACTGCAGAACTAGTACCTTCCCACTGCAAAATTGAATCTTCTAACAAAGAACGTGTTAATTTCTCGGCGAGTGGTCACTGCCGATGTATTTACAATTGTAAATGATAATATTGCGCTAAATTTACAATTGATGACGTCGCAGGAGAAACTAAATGGAGTAACAGGGTAGAAGAACGTAAGCGTAAGGGTGGATTTACCAGTGACCTTGAGCCGAGTTTATCAGTTTCGCTTCAACTACAGTCCTCGATGTGCTGTGGATATATTTCTCTTCCTCCACCGCGGTCTCTCTGAATTCGTTCTTTCTGTTTTTCTTTTTTTTAATATTTTTATACTGTCCACTGCTGAAAGTGGGTACGATAAATATTTGTACAGCGTCGAATCGACAATTTGTCGTTGGTCTACGGGAAATTATTGCAGGGAACGACATCGCAGTCGAGAAAAGGTAAACCGACGAGCGGGTAAAATTGAGGGATGAAAGAATGAGCTTCCAGAGTGTGCCTAATCGATACATTCCAAAAAAAAGGTGTAATGCGTGTGAAAATCGGAGAATCTATGGGGCGTGAGTGTGTTATGCGGTTTTCGAATTCTGGCCGATATCGATCGCTGTATTTTAAGTGCTAGTCACTTGTTATCGTAAATTGAGAAAGAATAAAATTCTTTTGTTAAAAAAAAAATGGTGTTTAGAGGATTCGATTCTCCCGCGACCATTTCCTCAGTCCGAGTTCACGCATTTTTCCTCTCCAGTGTTCTTTTATTAAAATTAATTTGTTTTGGTTATGAAGATGATGAGTGAATTTCTATGTTCAGATAATTAACAACATCGAAAATAATATCTAACGTGTAATTTAATTATTCGAATAACCAAAGCTCAGTAAGTGGTTTCCTTTTTCCCAGTATTTAAGAGTTTAGTGTACAATTTACTTTCCTCTGGTGAAAGTTTTGAATAGTCTGTTATGTCCTCGTCCTCAAAGTGTTAATTCCACTTTAATCATTTCGTTCAGTTCTATCGTTCGTTCAAAAACTATTTCAGATTTGATGGGAATTTTGGTAATAGTTAGACGCGTGATTGAAGAATTAGAATTAAATTTCATGAATTACTGTCAATACGATTATCATTGAGTTATTATTCACTAAAGGAGAAGACTGTCTTTTGTTATAAAAATGTGATATAATACTAGTACATCGAATTAAGAAAAGATTATCTAATAACAAAATTTCTACTGAAAATTACTGAAAAATTTCATGTCAACGAATATTTAAACAAACGAAGGTATTGAATCCTAAGACCACCGCAACTTAATACCTAATACCATTACTGTACCTCTTATAAAATACTCAATAACACAGTAATCGGTCATGCTTCCTAATCAATAGAAAAATCCTTAGCAGAACCGTTAATTAGGAACACTCGCTCGATCCAGGTGCTCAGTTCACTCAGATTCCACGCGATGAAGAAAAAGATCGGTAAACCAGTGATGCATACCGCAACATTCCACAGTTTACCCTAAATACCGATAAATCAGTCCGCGGCGCTGCCTGATCGCAGAACGCCAGACAGCCGTGCGCGGTTTGTTATTTTCTCGAAGCAGCCGGTTCCTACCGATTGTTTGAAAAATCGCCGGGACGAAATCAGGGTTCCCTCGCCGCGGCAAAATTAGACGATTCAGCCCGGCCGGGATGCACATGACACGGGACGGAGTGAATCAACGATGGACTGACCGAATAACTAGCGATTCGGGCCAAGGTTTCGGGTGCAACACGTGTTTGTCAGCCGTGATACAGAAATAAAGTACGGGTTCCCTCCTTTCACGGTGTGCGGTGTTCGCCTTCGCGACGATAACTCGTCGCTGGCAATATCGTTTGTCAATGAATGCCTCTCGCAGAAAGAGAGGAGGACCTGCACCCGGGGAGAAGAAAAAGAAGATTGGCTACCGCGTGCAGGAAAAAAGAGAGAGAGAGAGAGAGAAAGAGTGGCGGAGAAAGAGAGGGAGAAAAAGAGAATTGGAGGGAACCGAGATGCAAAAGAAAAAGATGGGAAAGAAAGCACACACAAAAATAAGCAGGCCGGTATTTCGGCTTCCCTGCTGCGTGAATCACGGATCGTTAATAAATTTCGGTGAAAAAGAAACCCTCGCATCCGGCGTCTTCCGGCGCGGCGGTGGACCGCGGCCGAGAAAATCGACGAAAAAGGAGTTCACCTGCGCGTCTGGTCCTTAATCGCTCGGTGTTCCTTGATCACCGGTGGATTATTATTGGCCGTACGTGTTGGTTAGGTGATTTATCGGTGATGGTAGGTTAACGATAAGTTGAAGATCGAGTTCGAATGGAGAGCTTGTTGCATTAGGTGCCGGAAAAAGTTCGTGCCGGTTCTTAAATCAGAATTTAACACTGGAACTATCAGTCAGAATGACTGGTTTCGGTCTTTTTGCCTCGAGATTATTGATATCTTAAAAACATTGAATATTCGAAATGATTTCGAAAGTGTTTCATTTGAGTACTATAATTAATACCCAAAGAAACTGAAAATGATCTACTGTTATTTTTATAGGGTTTACATATAAATTCTATTAAATGCTCGGTATGTTCCAGTATTAAACACAGCGAACGTTTTCGTAAAAAATACTTTTTTTTATAGAAACGTGACTTGGTGCTGATAGGTATTTCCTTCATTAAACTTATGAAATAACGGTTGAAATCGACCTCGATTCATTGCTAACAAGAAAACTGCACAAACTTTTTCTGGTATCTGGTAAATGTACTTTGGTAAACGTTTACGTTGGTTGTGTAATTGTCTATTTTTAGATCCCTAGTTTCCAAGATCTACATGAACGAAGATCAATTCTTCTGGAGATAATAGAATAAACCTATGATAAATGTCCGTAAACCTAGTGTTAAAAAACAAATTATTTGCACCGTAATATGCGTCTCCTGGGACTAATTAATTAGGTAATTAATCATTTAATTAATACCTATAACATTCTGTGTAGGCTCAAAGATGTCGAAGATATTGAAATTGATGGTGGCAACATAATTTAGATGGAATTTGATAATAATAGATTAGATAAGACTGATAGTAGCTGCATCAAAGAAACAGGTATAAATAGCAATGTCAGGCTAACGTGTAATAAGCGCATAGGTTGATGAATAGAAGTGAAGATAAGAAGTTATGGCATCGCAGACTATGCAAGAGAATGATGTAGCGAAAGGTTTAGATATATTCTGAAATACCACGTCCATTTTATTATCTATCAACATATCTCATTAGATTTTATTAAGACTCAGAATTTTCATCTTCCTGTTTAAGGGTTAATTAACTCCATTTTATTTTATATTCAAGGATCACTACCGGAAGAAGATGTTTCCGAAAAAGAAGGATCTTTATTGTCTTTTAGTGTTTCGTTTGGATCGGATTGAAGATGCAGTGGTTATACAGAGAGAAAGTACTCTAAATACTTCTCCATAGTGACTGTTCGAAATGTTATTGCCACTTGCACTCCACTTTGGTTCAACACAGATGCACAAATGTAATCTGCAATCTGGTAAGTACCTTTTCATTTAAAAACTTTGTAAGAATTAATTTACTTCACTCTGGTATTCTCTTCTGTGCTCCTACGAAAATGTACGTAATGTATAATCAGTACTTTCTTTTTATACATATGGAACTTAAAACTAAGATTTAGGTATATAGTATCATATCAAAAGACAGTGTTTACTTGGCAGTCGAACTGTTAATACGGATAGGCATAATCGATGGAAACTGTGAAGGAGACATCCGGTGTATAATTGTAATGAAACTTCATTCGAATAACAATACTGAAAAAATAGTTAACCTTTAGCCGACTGCTTGTTACTTAAATTTCTTGTTCGTGTATAGAGTCTTTAGTTATTTACTAATCGACATTTCATATTTGCTTTTACAAATTCGGTTGATAAGAAGACGATATCAAGGCAAGTGTTAAAAAATGGTCAACACCAAGAGTGTCTCCTTTTCCATAACCATTTAGCAGGTTTAACACGTTGACTGCCACGGTGGTCACCGATGACCGGAGCATCTAAATCACTTGAAAACAATGTTAATTTGTCACATACCTAATGTCGCATGAGAATGTCTAATAGCGTAAATAACTAGATGGCAGTCTGATGTAAATATTTCGATACCAACTAATAAATAACTGCTGTTCTTTATCTTCACTACAAAAGAATAAGCGATACGAAAGCTCTGATGGTTTTCGTGACAGTCAACGTGTTAAACTAACTATGCATTGTGCCCAGCAGAAAGAGGATACATTCCTCGGAGCGTCTCGCGAGCATGGCCCGGAACGATAAGGCAATTAATGCAAATCGCGGCGGATAATATCGCGCGTAGGGGCCGGGGGGGCCAGTAGAAACGTTAGCCCCGTTATCGGGTTACGCGACACGCACCGGTGAAGTTCCAATTTCGCGGGCTGAAATACGCAAATTGGAGTTGCCCGGCGCTGCGCCGCGGCGACATTGTCCCCCGGTGCACCATTTCGCGGCGATAAATCCGCGGATCGCGCGTCGTTTTATCGGCGGCCACCGCTCGTTTGTCTTGTCCGGTGACCAGTGACAAAATGGCGGACGGGGATGCGATTTTCTATGGGGCAGCGGAGAGTCCACCCCTTCGGAAATCCTAAACCCTATCACGTTCACAGGCCTTGTACTGTCTGTCCATGGCTTGTTGGCTAGCAAGATGGCACAGGGGCGAGAGTGTTGACTTTCGATGTGTTTTGTTTATAGCTTGGCTCGTTATGCGAGCCGCTCATTGGCTGAATCGATTAACACTTTCGCTGCCATAGTCGTCCCATGGGACTGGAGCTTCGAAATGACTTGAAAATAATTATAAGTCGTAAGACAACTGACGTAAAATATGTTCAATAGCGTGAACAATTAGAGAACAGTGTAATGCAAGAACTGTGATAGCAAGTAATTAATAATTGTTGCTTTTTATCCTTGCTATAAAGGAATAAGCGATACGTAAAACGTTGATGTTTACCTTTGCAGTCAACGTGTTAACAGTTTTCGAATTTTTTGAAGATTGTATCATTAACATGCCCTACAGTATCGTGTCAGGCTCTCGACAATTCTAAACTGAGTTTGAGAAATGTAATTTATTTCATTTTTTAATATAAATTGAATATTACTTTTGTGTCGTCAATCGTTAAATTTTGGAGTGAACGTAGACATAGAATAAGCATCAAAGTTATTTCTTTTTCTAATACATTATTAACGATGAAGTAGTTGTAGTGATCATAGTTAAGAAATAAATCATAGGGCAAGGGGTTGAAGTGGAAAATGAGATAAAAACCGATCGATTCGACTCGCATTCCTCAGTCTAGCCATGAAGTCGTGTTCGGACTATCCTGTCGGCTCGTGTGTCGTTGATCGGGAAACCTGTGGCCTGGAAAATCGTGTTGCGTTTCTTTGGTACGGATGAAAGTTCGAGGATGCTGGTTCGAATGAAAGAAAGTGACGCTCCTCTGAGTTTTATTTCTATTTTTGTTTTTTTGGGCTTCTTCCGTTTCCTTCGCTTTCTTGTTTCTTTTTCAGTTGGGTGGGTGGAATGTGAAGTGACTCACGCGATGGTGGTGCTTTGTCTTCTTTTTT